ACAAAATCAATGATTGAAATAGTTATAGACTCATTTAGTAATCAATGAATTGTTTTGCATGTGCTGAGAGACTCAGAAACTGACACTGGAAATGTGTGAAAAATCAAACACCGGTTTTATTGTAAATCAACTGTACGTTTTAAGGGCATTTCTTTGATTTCATCTTGGTCAGATTTATTTATCCTTTTGCATTCTAAAGAACAAATCGATAAATCGAAAGAATAATAACCAGATAAACCTATTACCATTATAATCTTTAGTTGCAGCTCATAACCTGCATAAAGAAGTGGAGTAAGGAAGTGGGACGTCACCCACAGCGTTTGGCTCCAGTCAAATGAAGCTCATTGGGGCGGAGGTTACAGGAGCAAATCTGGAGCAGAGTCAGGAATAGAAATTGATTTACAGAGAAAACAGCTCAATAAAACACCATGTAGATCACGTAGAGCAGGTTCTATTTACAATACAATACAACAGAAACATTTTAAGACCAAACTGACGAGGTTCACTGGAGCAGTGACAGACAGGACACAATGTGAAGTGAACTGGAGCCACAGTCACTGGAGCCAGAAGAAAATTCCATGCTCACTTCCTATTTGGAATGCAGCAGCTAGAGGTGAATGCTTCAAGTCAAGGTGATCTGTAGCACATTATTTACATTTTATTTAAACATTTGTAAAATATTTTACTGTGAGTAAAATGTTTTACAAATGTTTTACGCACACACCCCCACACACACACACACACACACACACACACACACACCAGTGCACAGACACAATGGGGGTGAGTGGGGTTAAGTGCCTTGCCCAAGGACAGGATTCATCTATAAGATGGTACCACCAACCTGTGGGTCAGTGGATCTGATCGCTCAACCAATGACGTTTATGTGGAGAGTGGGATTGGAGCCACCGACCTTCAGATCAGCAGAGTCTGACATGAGCTACACACTCAGATCATATTGTTAGAACAAAAACTCCTGTGCTAAAGTCAGGTTTATCTAAATCAGGTTTAAAGGTTTAATCTGGATTTTCTTGAGTCTGTACTTTCTCCCACAGCCTCAGACCTCTGCCAAGGCACAACGCCTGGACTCAACCCAAAGCACTTAACCCACTTTATCTGTTTACCTCAAACACCAGGGTTTGGTTTTTCAGCACCATGGAGAGGCTATCGCGTGGGCTGGAATGTATAGCAGTATAGCATTAAAAGTATCTATCTCCATGGAGACGAGCAGGTGACTGAAGAAGCTATTCGGTATTCTGGTTCATGTATTATACAACACAAACATGTGTCATTGAATAAACGATAACAGCATCACGAGTCTCACAGATCCTCACAGATCCTCCTCCAGAAAAACTGCACAAGTGCAAGACGCAAAAATGAAAAAATAAATCAAATGTGTCCATCAGATTTGATGATTGTACTCTGTCATTAATCTGTACAAATGTCAAGTTTGAGGTGTGTGAATGTGAAGTGAATCACAGATAGACTCTTTCACTCTTAGTTTATTTAATCCTTTTTGCAGCCTGTTCAGTTTTCTTACACGATACACAATATTTTACAATATTTTACTTCAGCAAATATTGAAAAGAGATTTCCAAGTATTTGAGCAGAATGTGTCTTGTCCCAGTGTGAACAGCTCTTGAAGTCAAAATAAATCCACTGTTCTGTGGGAATATAATTACAAAACATTTATTATCCCATAATCAGGAAGTGTATGTTGGCATGCTGGTTGTTGTTAGCTTTACCATGATGGTAAAACACCACACAGTTTGTTAGAGCTGCGAAAAGTGCTGATAAACTCATCTTGATGAATAATTACAATGAATAGATAAGGTATAAATAACTCTGGACCAGAGAAACTGTTTGAGATGAAATACTTCAGTTTTTCACATTTTAAGACAAAATATCTGTTGCTTTAAAAAAAAAAGCTATTCCCTCCGTCCTGGTCAGACACTCTGATGGAGAAAAGCTCTGAGCCCCACACTCGTCTGATCTCACACACATAAAAACAGGCCACTTACTCCTGACCTGTTAATCCTGAATGGGGCCATGAGAGCAGCTTTGGTGCTCCGGCCCAGTGGCTGTCAGATTGGCAGCCTCACTTCTGTCACACTGTTAGGCGGCTTAATCTGTGGTTAGCACTCACGTTTCACACCAAGAAGGTTCGAGTTTGCCCAGGCCTTTCTGTGTGGAATTTGCACATTCTCTCTGTGTCTGGATGGGTTTCCTCCAGGTTCTGTGGTTTCTCAAACATGTACAACAGATCAAATCCTCCAAGACCAAGACCAAGACCAAGACCAGACTGGAGATGTTCCCTAAGTACTGCACTGTGGTGCTCACTGCTCCTGAGGAGATGTTCCACAGACACTGAAGAACGGGTCAAATACAGAGAACAATACTCCCTACAGGAACAACAAAGTGCATCTAAACCTCAACCTTCATTTTCTTAAAGACACCAATTAATGAATCAATTATTCAATCAATATAACTTTATTTATCCCAAACAGCTCATTTCATCCAATCCCACAGTCCTGACCGTCATCTGAACTGAACTCTTTCAGCTGGTTTAGATGAGCCTTTCTTGTCTCTTTATGCATCATAAATTCTTGTTGGAGAAGGAAGGAATGGACACAAAAACACCTCAAATCAGAGCCCAAAAATAATCGTCCAATCAGATTTGATTATTTCTGTAATGTAAGTGAAACAAAGGAGCTCATTGGTCCCCAGCATTTTGAATAAAATGATATTTCTCTCCTCTCACATGAACAGAGTTTAGTGTTTCACTCATTGTTTCTGCAGAAATGATGAAGTGATGTTTTTGTCATTTTTCGTTTTTACATCATATTTCTTCCTGTGTACTTTTATACTTCTTGCTTGTCAGTAAGAATATTTGAGTAGATCGTTAAAATACTCTGGCAGTAGTACTGGTGTTTTGCCTCGTTAAACAGACTCATTATTTCAGCCTGCTTTATCCGGACTCTGTGACACCACGTCTAACGAGGTTGAGGGTTTAATTCCCTTATCCGGATTTGAGCAGGTCTGAGTCCTGAGCCTGAGTCCGGACTGACTCTGGAGGAGATAAGACAATTACACAGATTTACACGAGTGCGCTGCAGCCGCACTGTGGAACATTCCAACGCCATGTCTCCATGGAGACAGGCACATAGTGGACACCAGAAAAGTGTTAGTGCAACTTCAAAATATTCAGTGGATGTTTAAAGGCCCCAGTCTGATTTGTAGTCAGTAGTTTGCAGTGGTGCACAGTTCGTCGTCACTCACCTCCTGCATTCACAACATGACTTATTCACCACACTGACTTTTTTCTCTGACAATGTATTTGATCTGAATGTGTCTTGCTCTGGTACAGATGTGTTGTATAAGCAGCTCTTCCACTTTAATTCCACTATGTTCAGTTTGCTGTTAGCATGCTAGTTATGAACTTTACTGTCACAGTAAATCTTCACTCGAGTTGTGAAAAGTGTTTATGAACTATAGAAATAAGTGAGGAAGAACTTTGAACCACTGCAAACTGTATGAAATGAACTAGTTCTGTTTAAGAATAAAAATCAGGCACAGCACCTTTAAAGGTTTGGAGTGCCAAAGGGCACGGAGAGAGACAAGAAGCCCGAGCCACCGCCAACACAATCCCCCAAAATCTCCCAAAATCTCCCTTTCTCTGTCTCTCTCTCTTCCTCCCTTACTTTCTCTCTCCCTCTGTCTCTCTCAGTCAGTATCCAGACCTCCAACTGTGCAGCAGATAGAGTCTTCACGGAGAAATTTTCACTTTCAAATTCTTATTATATATATAAGTTCCCTGATTGACTAAATTCTATTGTGCAATTATTTCTACTTATGTGTGTTATTTATCAAATAAATGTGCACATTATGACTTACAAGGGCATAGACTTGTTCTGTGTTTACAGTGTTCAGTTCAGTGTTCAGTCTGTAGTCATTGCACACATTTTTGTTTATAATAAAAGTGGTGATATTTATTTATTAACCTTTTAAATGATTTATTATTTTAACTTTCATGTTTGGTGTATTTGTTTTGTAAATAAAACAAATCGCACTGATAAATTCTGAATGACTGTTGATTCCCTGCAGGTGGGGCGGGTGGGGCGGGTGGGGTGGGTGGGGCGGGATGGTGGGGCATCACAAAGTATTTGTGCTTACAACTGCCCTGAATGAAGGAATGTTTAAAAAATACAGAGATCTCATTCTGGACTCGACAGGGAACATGTGACCTTCAGACCTTCATCCTTTTTTATGGCTCATTTTATAATATTAAAATCCATAATGAACAGTTTTCATTAGACAAACACTGGCAAAAATATCCAGGGAATGTCACGATTTTCAACTTGCCCACTGATCCTGACAAACACAGAGGACAAATGTCCCTGCACACACTGTGTTCTGTGTATCAAGTACATACTTCTATTAACTTTTTATTTTTTTATGAACTATGTTCTAATGTCCTTTCCTCATCACACACAGACCTGGACTTGTGTTTTGTTTCACACGTTTAACACACAAACGCTGCACATTTAGGCTGAGTTCTTCTCTCACACAGAAAACACTCTGTTCCACCTTGTGATGTCATGATATTGCAGGAAGTGCTCCACTGTGTTTTTAAACTCCACACACCTTCACTAGAATCATTTGGATCCTTTCAGCCCTGGAATTTTCCATCTCTACTGAACGAAACGTAACAAGGTTTTCACTTGAAAACTATCACTTCATGACATCACAAGGTGGAACAGAACATTCCAAACTTTGGAGACTTAAACGTGTGAATGAAACAAAACACAGCTCCAGGTCTGTTTGTGATGATTTAACCACATTGCTGACATGACTTAATATAGAAGCTCTAACCACAAACATGCAGCTGATGTGAAAGACGGCACTTCCTGTGCAGAAATGTTGAAAAACCAATGAAACCACTTCAAAATATTTTGTTCTTTATTGTTTTTTTGGTTTTTTGTTTTGCCAAAAGCTATTTACTAAAAAACAAAAATCAACACTGCCACTTTAAAAGACGATAAATGTGCAATATTTTTGTGATTTTCATTTGCTGTGAGAATTTTGTACAACAGGAACAGAAGAGCAGAGGTGCAGAGGTCAAGAGGCCAAGAGGTCAAAGGTCGTGCGGTTTAAGACGGCGACACTGAGGACACTTCTGTCTTTGAGGTGGACACTTCTGAACTGTCCTCCACCTCCTTCCCAAACAACTGCATAATACAACAACGAAACTGCAACACAAGAAGAGAAACAAAGCACGTTACATCAAGTGTTTGATTCAGAAACAACACAGGACAATGGGCATACAAACAGGAGTAGGAGTAGAAGTAGAAGTAGTGGTGGTAGTAATAGTGGTAGTAGTAGTTACAGCAAGAGTATTAGTAGTAATAATAATAGGCGCAGCAGTAGTAGTAGTAGTAGTAGCAGTAGTAGTAGTAGTAGCAGTAGTAGTAGTAGTAGCAGTAGTAGCAGTAGTAGTAGTAGTAGTAGTAGTAGTAGTAATATATAATTTATAATAATAATAATAATAATAATAATAATTTAGTAATAATAATAATAAGTTGGTGTTTTGGTTTCCACATGATTATCCAATCAGGAAGCAGAATGAGCCTCACATGACTCTCATTTGCGTTGCAATGCTGAAATCCCGTTGGTTTAAATCTGAAAGGACTGAATGGTCTCTACGTAAACCCCAGGACCTGCACCTCTCATGAGTCAGTGCTAGTGCAGCCTGTGCAGCTCAGAGAGGGAATTCTGGAGGTTGCGAGGTTCTTCACATGAGGCCTGAACATAAACTGAGAATGAGACAAACTTGTACTTGTGTGTCTCTATCTGCAGGTGAAGGCTCTGGGGACACAGGGTCAGTTGTGACTTTTTTTTTTTTTATTCAGTAAAAGCACAAGCTTTAATACCTGTAGTAGCAGCAGCAGTAATTGTTATAATTGTAGTAACTGTAATAGTAGTAGTAACAGTAGCAGTCGTAGTAGTGGTATTGCAAAGTCCCCTGTCTGTTCAAAAAGACATACAGTGCATTATTATATGATTGGACTGCAAAGTTAACAGCAGCAGTGTCAGTACTACTACTAGTAATTATAGCAGTAATAGTTGTTGCTTTACCTGTCTATTCATAAACACATTGATGTTGATGCAGTAGTAGTAGTAGTAGTAGTAGTAGTACCTGTCTGTTCATGAACACATATATGATGGGGTTGTAGTAGTAGTAGTAGTAGTAGTAGTAGTAGTAGTAGTAGTAGTAGTAGTAGTAGTAGTAGTAGTAGTAGTAGTAGTAGTAGTAGTAGTACCTGTCTGTTCATGAACACATATATGATGGGGTTGTAGTAGTAGTAGTAGTAGTAGTAGTAGTAGTAGTAGTAGTAGTAGTAGTACCTGTCTGTTCATGAACACATATATGATGGGGTTGTAGTAGTAGTAGTAGTAGTAGTAGTAGTAGTAGTAGTAGTAGTAGTAGTAGTACCTGTCTGTTCATGAACACATATATGATGGGGTTGTAGTAGTAGTAGTAGTTGTAGTTGTAGTAGTAGTAGTAGTAGTAGTAGTAGTAGTACCTGTCTGTTCATGAACACATATATGATGGGGTTGTATATAGTGGCGCTCTTGGCGAAGTACGCGGGCAGGGCGGCGGCGAGCGGGTGGAAGGAGTAACCCGGGTTTCCCGCGGCGAAGCAGGCGAACACGGCGTACGGGCCCCAGCACAGACAGAACGCCATGATCATCACTATCACCATACGAGACACCTCCTTCTCCGCCTTCTGGGTCGACTCTGACTCTTTCTGCTGCATGGCCACCTACAGGACCGGAGGGGAACAGCACGTGAGACAGGACAGGAAGGGTCGCAGAAGAAGTAAGAGTAACAACTGCTGGGTTTCACAATTATTAGATGTCTAGAGGACAACAGCAGAAAGGAGAAGTGAGTGAGTTAGCTGAAGATTTATTTATTCATTTTTTGGAATTTCTCTGTTAAAAAAATCAGATTAAACTCATGATTCACAGGTTGAATATAAATCCATTCTTTCATCCACTTTCTTCCACTTTATCCGGGCCAGGTTGCAGGGGCTGCAGTCTAAGCAGAGACTCACAGACTTCCCTTTCTGCACAAACTTTCGCCAGCACTTCCAGGGCGACCCTGAGGTGTTCCCAGGCCAGCCCAGAGACATAGTCCCTCCAGAGTGTCCTGGGTCTTCCGCAGAAGCTTCTCCCGGTGGGACATGAATACTTCCCGAGCTAGAATTCAGGAGGCATCAGAACAGCCACCTCAGCTGCTCCTCTCCATGTGGAGGAGCAGCGGCTCTACTCTGAGCTCCTCCCGTGTGACTGAGCTCCTCACCCTGTCTCTAAGGGAGCACCCAGCCACCCTGCGGAGGAAACTCATTTGGGCCACTTGTATCTGCGATGTCGTCCTTTCAGTCATTACTCAGAGCTCATGACATGGATGAGGGGAGGAATATAGATTGATGGCAAATCGAGAGCTTTGTCTTTTGGCTCAGCTCTTTGTTCATCACAACGTCAGTGTAAACGCTGCACCAAAAATCAGAGCGCAGTTTGGGTCAGAAACACAGAGATTCAGAATAGTATCCACTCTGTTAATGCTGTCAATCAAACCTGTGGATCAGGCTAGTGGGAGGGACTTTGGAGAAAGAAGGAGCCTGATTGGTCTGTCCTTAAAGTTCATATTTTGACCTATGAATAAAATAGTGAAATAAAAACCACAGGACCATGTAGAGAGAGTTAATATGAACATTTTAAGAACAAAATGAGGAGCCTGACAGCAGCAGGTACAGAGATGGGCGACAGTTTTTCAATAGAATGTGAACAGCAGAAAGAGTCGATGGAGCCGAATCACGTTCTTACCGAGTGAATGGCCCACCACACTGCGACGTAGCAGAGGATGATGATGGAGAGAGGAAGGAAGCAGCAGGTGATCATCAGAGTGACCATGTAGGACCAGACCCCAGGATCCTCACTCCCACTGAACACGTCCGGACCACACGAGGTCTTCAGACCATGAGGCCAGTACCTGATGAGGCCACAAGCAGTAGCAGTATTATTACTAGTATTAATAGTAGCAGTTGTGATAATAATGTAATAGTAGTACTAGTAGCAGTAGCATTAGTAGTAGCAGCAGTAGTAGTAGTAGTAGTAGTAATAGTAATAGTATTAGTACCTGCTCCATCCAAAAATGGGCGGGGCACACCAGAAGAAGGCCCAGGACCAGGAGAAGATGATTCCTCCTGAGGCCCATTTTGCATCAAACTTCACGTTTCCAAAAGGTTTGCACACGACCACCCAGCGCTCCCACGAGATGATGGCCAGAGACCAGAGCGCCGTGATGCCTGCAGGGGGCAGTAAAGAGCTCACTACAAGAGGATGTGTTCAAACAGGTTTGGTTCACATGACGTCAAAACATCTTCAAATGTCTATAATTCAAACAGCTGAGACAGACCAGAGTCTCAGGTGGAGTTTGTTGGAACTGTCAGAAGCAGATGTGTTCACCTGGTTTATGGTTCATATCTAAGAGTCTATCCTCATGAAACAAAAACTGGCACAAAGTTCAACTTCAGTTTGTACTGTTTCATAAAGTGGTGCAATTATTCAACCACAAAGAGGTGACTGTTGTCAGCTGAAAGAACTTAAAATATAAGAATAAGAATATTAATATAGAATGTTTGTGGAGCCAGTCCCAAACAAATAATGATCAGATAAACTAAAGATAAATAACATTTGATTTGTGGATCTCCCACAGAGTTATACAGGCCCCTGCCCTCCAGGTGGATAAGATGCAGATATTTATTTATATACTGTCAAAAGTATCAAAAATTACATATATAGAGATATAATCAATACTAAAACTAGTACTGAAATGAGATACTCATCTGAGCAGGTGTCAATACTACAAAAAAGCTCCACAAACTCTTGAGAATCTGTCCTCAGCTCCAGCTGAAGTGTTTACATGTGATAGGTGAAAACTGACCAATCACAGAGCAGCTCTGTGGTTTGAGCAGAAGCCAGCGCCGACCCAGCGCCGAACAAACCAAAACAAACACGGCGACATCCGCAGACGTACTTCAGCTAACTATAGCAGAAATATGAACTATTGAGTTTGTGACAAACGTGCAGAAGATAAGAGCTTTGTGATCAAGTGTTTGTTTGAACATTCTGATCACTGGTTCCCAGGTTCATGTGTAGAAGTCTATTGAGAAGACAACAGGCCCATGGAGCACTGTGGAACCTGCCTGAGAGATTACACACACACACACACACACACACACACACACATAAGGCCACATGGGAATAGAACAAGTATGATGATTTAATGCTGAAAATCCCATTGTCTTGTGTAAATACAGAGTATTTTGTATTATCAGAGCACGATGAGGACAGGAGTGAATACAGACCACAGACAGAGACAGTGTAGCCTTCAAAGATGCACATGGGGTGTCCGAGGATGAAGTAACCGAAGAACTGGTTACAGACGGAGATGGTGGAGGCGAAGATGGTCTCCCCCAGATCTGCGATGGCCAGATTCACCAGGATCCAGTTCAAAGGGTGACGCAGCTTTTTGAACTTTGCTGTGGCGACCAGGACCAAGCCGTTAGTGAAGACGGACGCCACCACCACGAACAGCATCCAGGCAGTAGAGAGGTTGTACACCCACCGGGGGGCGATGTGGTAGTTTGGCCCTTCAAAAGGATCTGAGGAGATCACAAAGTCAAAGTGTGTTTGGTTAGAGCTGGGATGTCTTTACAGATACTGATCTCTCATGAGTTTTGATATGATATTATATTATTATTATATTAATATTATTATTATTGTTGTTGTTTTATTACTGTTGTTTAATAGATAAATCGTTTTTCTAGATGAACTTTCCTGAACATAAACAGTTTTTGTTCTTTGCAGTCAAGACAAAAAATCTCATTTGTTTTCCATCTGCTCCACACAACAGGTTTGAATAAACATAATAAGTCTTCCAGACACTTTACACTTTCATCCATTCTTCATTCTCTCCACACTCAGTGGTGTTAAAACACTGATGTAGCCACAGCTGCCCTGGGACTGACTGAAGTGAAACTGTCAATCTGCCTGATAACACAACTATGTTTTTTCCCACTGTGGAACCTGGTCCCAGCAGTCTTCCATCCAAGTTTAGTTTAGTTTAGTTTAGTTTAGTCAAGTTTAGTTTAGTTTAGTTTAGTTTAGTTTAGTTCAGTTTGATCCCCGTTAGCGACTGGACTCTCAGAGGCTCGTGCACTCTGCTCTCGGCTCTGTTCAGCTTCTGAGCTCTGACCTGAGGCTTTGACCAAGAGCTCTGAGTGGCTGTAGAGCTCGCCATTAACAAGACCTGATCTTTGACATTGAGAAAAACATTTTGTTTTTAAATGTGATTATTTGCTGCACAGTTTTGGTTGTTTTGGTTTTTAAGGTTAGGATTAGGTTTAGGGTAAATATGGTGAAATCAGATGAAAAAGAACTTATCCACAGTGGATAAATGGACCTGTTTAAGAGAGAAAATTCAAGTATATTCAGATAAAACGTGATTGAAGTACAGGTCAAGGTAAATTCATACTTTGAGAGCTCGGTGGGTTTGCTTTGCCAAGAATGTTCCACAGTTTGGCATTAAACTTGTCTCCATGGAGCCACGTGGGCGATGCACCAGTTCAAGGTGTTTTAAACAATAAAAACAGGAAGTGAATAAAACAAGACGAGTATGTTTAATGTCACACTGTCGCACTGTGAGGAACAATATCTCCATGGAGACAAGCAGGTGACAAACCCACATCCAAAAGTTTTACTCAAGAAAAAAATATTTTTTGTGATGTGAAGTGTTTATAAATCCGAAGAACAGAAAGTGTGATCCTCTGTCGTGTCTCACCTCGGGTGTTGTTGGAGTTTGTGTAAGTGAAAATAGATCCTCGGGTCGTCTCGTCGTGGTACCGCCGGGCGCCGTACACCTGTTTCCCCCACTCCTCTGCCATCTTCTCCGGCTTGGTTCGCTTCGGGAGTCGGGGCCCGTGGTTGGCAGCTGGAGGTCTGACACTCACCCTTCACACTCCGACTTTTTATACCCCACACCTCGGGGCGCTCTGATCCGATTCAATAGCGACTTAATGCCGCGTAATCCCCGTTCCGTGTGGTAATTAAATCTAAGCGAATCAGGTCCACAAAATACTAGATTACTCTAATTTGCACGAAGTGGATTTCCGTTCGCTTACTTCACGCGCGCGGATGATAAAGGTGACACACTTGGAGCAGGACTCCAGCTCGCTGCGCGTAAGAGAGACGCGTAATTGGAGATGTACGCACAATCCTGAACTAAATAGGCTCTTCCAGCGGCCCTCCAACATTTATCTAGTGAGGAGCCAAAATAAACCTGCTTTTTTCACAGGGACTCGTGGATGGGGGCGTGGCCAATAATAACAAAACAAAATGTTTATAACTTTAAAGGGAATTTATTTGAACTAATAATCCTGTTTACTCTTTAGGCACATTTACATTATATTTTCAGAGTAAACATGGTGGTCGACTAAAAGCAGTTGTACTGTAAAATTGTTTTTCCTGGGGCCCAGTGTCAGATGGCCCGCGGGCCGGTTTTGGGCCCTGGACTGGTGGTCGGGGACCCCTGGACTGTACAACTAAATAATTATATGTTCAGTTAAAAAGTTCAAATGAATGTTAAAAGTGTGAGACCAAAACCACGTTTGAAGGTGCACTGTGTCTGTACTCACACAGAAACATTAAACCAACCCGATGACACTTTTCCAAGTTCAATGTGTTTCAAAATATTATTTGCAATGAAACACCTGAAAGTGAAAAAAAAAAAATCAAGATCAGTATGTTTAATGCCATAATGTGGAACATTCCAGGCAATGAAGAAGCATCTCTGGAGCCTCCAGCAAACCAGTGAACATTAACACATTTATTGTGACTCTGATTTGATTTAAAACATCGTCTGTGTGTTTGAGCTCGTGGGTCTAAACCTGTGTATCACTTTTTGATAAGTTGCCCTCCTCCTGTGGTGCTAATCTTTTCCCCGAACCGAAAGTTCACTCACACACTCACACTGATCCTAAACGGAGTTACGACGACGTTATTGGTCATTCATGGACTTTTTCAGGCTGGACTTTTCTAGGCGTACTATAAAATCAAACTCTTTAGGATTTTTCTCTGAGAGTAGCCTTCTCGTCATACTGGGTACAGTTTAATTCTTCAGAAGAGACAATAGTTCTCTGTACTGTTTTTAGGCATGGTTGTGCTTTAGCTATACTTGTATATACTTTTTCCCCCTTAACCCTTAAAATTCACTTAAAAATGAGGAATCTTTTCTTTTCTTCGCTGGTGGATAAAGGTTTCAGCACTGCGGTGTGGACAGCTCCTGCTGCAGCCTCATGACAAGCATTAAGGCGCTACAACGAAAAAAGGGAAACAAATAGAAATTCTTCTTTTACACCCTTGTAAAATATGATTTAAATATGTTTGTCTTGATTTAAAACTGAGTCTCTTTCAGTGTTGTTAACTTGAACATTTTTACTGTCATAATTCTTGCTTCATTCGTCCCACAGGTGAGTGCACAGAGGAGGAGAGGAGGAGAGAGGGAGAGGAGGAGAAGGATGTGAAGGCATTTACACTGCAACATGTCCCCCTGCTGGCAAAACAAAGAACTACTTCAAGCACTGTTTTTTGTTTTTAGTTGAGATAGGCAGACAGAGAAATACTTTATTGATCCTCAGAAGTCATTAAAAGTTTGCACAAAGTCCAACAACAGGACTACAACAGTGCAACAACTTCTTTTTCAAACATACTACACTGGATTTAATCATTGTAGTTGCGTTGCCTGGAATGTTCCTCTGTATGGCATTTTACTCTGGGATTTCTCCATGGAGATAAGCAGCTGATGCCACCAGACCAAGTTTTGGAATAAAAATAAAACTTAATAAAATAATAAAACGCCTGTAGGCTCCTTGTCTGAATGAGAGCTGAGTTTTTGTCTGGCAATGAAGCTCCACTGACACGTTCAACTGTCCATTTCACTAAGACCCTGTTTACACTGAAACGAATCTGTGTATCACCGTATCAGAAACTGTCTGCATCCACACACATTGTTTCTGTGTCTGCCTATTTTCTCTATCCACACAACTTTGAGCATATTTGTTTAAGTTTTACAGAAACAAAACTTAAAACCGCATGTCTAATTTGCATAAACTGAGCCCTAAAAACAGCTCGCTATTGTGCACTGATGTGGTTCAGCTTTTGTCGGACTAAAGGACACGACTCAGTGGAATATGAGTGTTCTTTCTGTGACAGAGGGTGTTCTGCTGATGGTGAGTCTGTCCTGTGTTGGAGATGATTTATGTGAAACTTTTCAGAGATTATACATCTGCAGATCGTACGCACAGACCGTATATATGAATGGACAGATATTCTAGCCTTTTAGTGTTTTTATTTCTTTTGTTGTGTTGTTGTGTTTTTAGGTTCTTTTTTCAGACCAAGAGTTTGTTTTCATACCTGACAGTTTCGACTGCTCACTAGCGTCTTCCTCAGAGTGGTCACGTGATGTTGCTGTGACATGTCCAGTCAGTTGATTTAAACAGGTTTTGGTTTTTTCCTACCAGTGGGGGCAGGACGACAGCGCCATCTGCAGTCTGACCTCCTCAGGACAGTATCCCAGGTGTGTGAGAGTCACTTTCATTCACATTTCACTTAAAGCAATTATCTCAAAAACTGAGAGTGAAATTAGATTTCTTCTTTAGGATTAGGCCCTGTCTTTCATTTGAGGCTCGGAAGAGGCTTGTAGAAGCCACATTTATGTCGGTGTTGGACTGTGGTGATGTGGTGTATATGAACGCTTCTGCTCAGAGTCTGTGAGCTCTGGACACAGTTTACCACAGAGCCCTGAGGTTTATCACTGGTCTCAGAGCTCACACATCAGTGTGTACTGTCTGCACGTGTGGGCTGGACTTCCCGAGCCACACGGAGGCTCAAACACTTGTACCTGTTGGTCTATAAATGTATTCTTGGTTTGCACCCGTCTTATTTGTGTAAGTATGTAGTTCAGAAAAGTTCTGGGGCCAACGACCTGTGATCACAGGATTTGTTTTTATTGTCAGTTCCCAGATTAAAATCTGAGTTTGGCAAGAAACTTTTCAGTTTTATGCTCCTTCGGCATGGAACTTTTTACAAAATGATTTGAAGTTAAAGGAGCTGGTCTCCTTAGACTCTTTTAAACAGATTTTAAAAAACGGAGATCTGGAATTCTCTGGGTGTAATTGTTTTTAAATATCTTTGAAATTGTTTTGATTGTTCTGTTTTACTGAATGTATTGTATGTATGTTTTTATACGTTTTGAAACTGTTTTCTTGGCCAGGACGCTCTTGAAAAAGAGAATTTTTATCTCAATGAGACTTTTTCCTGGTTAAATAAAGGTTAAATAAAATAAATAAATAAAAAGCCTCTCGTCCCGGTTTATCGTCCTGTGGGCATGTTTCTGTATTTTGATTGCCTCTTTAATCCAGCAGTGATGTTTGTTTTCCCCTGTCAGAGTGATGTTTGCTCCATCCCAGTCCAGAATGTGCTTCTCTCTTTTACAGTGGTCAGAAATGGCCGATTTGAGTTGTTCCTGCTTTGTGTTGTGTTTAAATCAGCTGACCAGACACGTCACAGAAACATCACATGACCACATGAAGAGCGCTCGTGAGCAGTCCAAACTGTCAGCTATGAAAACAAACCTATGGTCTAAAAAAAGAACTTAATAACATAAATTATCGGAAGACCAAATGAACCTCATCGGACTTTTAGCGTTTTGTCAGTGAATGACTTCGCGGCACACAGACCTACATCACAGTATCAGTGTTTTCAGGCATCCACACGGTGCCGGATCAGATCTGTACTTAGATGAAATCATGGGAGCTCTCAGCACCAGATCATTCCGTCTCTGGAGCCATTTTCAATCGGATTAGTGTGAACGGACACTGCATCCACAACAACTTGAATATGTACTAGTGTGGACGGGACCTAAAACACAGTCAGATCATTGTATTTACATAAAAAATCATCCATAGCTGTGACCTAGCAACTATGATACACTGGGCCTAAACCTGTGTCTTCTAATGTACACTAACTATTTGACAAACACAAGTATAAAAAAACACCTTTGGCTGAAATCATGTGAAATCATGTTTGCTTTGGTTTATTTTTGTTTTGTTCTTATTTTTGTTTTTGTTGTGTGATAAAATTCTCTGAGTGTGATGTCATCAGCATGTTTAGCTTTTCTTCACTAATTGCTTCTCAGTCGGTGTAAAACTATAATTTATAGTTACAAAAAGTATTATCCCATCAAATGAAGTCAAAATAGAGAATGTTTAAATCCTGTCACGCACACAAACGCTTCAGAAAGATCAGGATGTCGACCTATTGCAATGCCCGATCCACATAGAAACCGTACCCCGTCAGTTATAATGTTTTTTGTTATTTTTGTCCTTTAAACTTCATGTACCTTCACACTTGTTCCACTAGAGGGCGCACTTTACCAACACTCTGGCCTCGGCTGAAGAAAAAGCTCGGATTTTGTGATGGAAATGAGCGCGAGGAGGATTTCAGCACCACGGACAGCGCCTCCGCTCTGGAGAAGTTCATGCTTCATATTTTTACAGCTCACAAACAGATTTGGGTTTATGCACAGTCAGGGAACATGGAAATGTAAAATCAGATCAAATAAGGCATTAGAACCAAACCTGCAAACATTTAGATAGACGGTTTAAAAGTCCTGGTTTAGACCTAGTTTAATCCTGGTTTAGTCCTGGTTTAGGTCTGGTTTATACCTGAGGTAGTCCTGGTTTAGATATTGTTAAGACCTTCTTTAGTGCTGGATTAGACCTGGTTTAATCCTGGTTTAGTCCTAAATTAGTTTTATTTTAGACCTGGTTTAGTCCTGGATTAGATCTAGTTTAGACCTGGTTTAGTCCTGGTTTAGACCTGGTTTATTCCTGGTTTAGTCCTGGTTTAGATCTAGTTTAGTCTTGGTTTAGTACTGCTTTAGTGCTGGATTAGACCTGGTTGAATCCTGGTTTAGTCCTGGATTAATCCTATTTTCGTTTTGGTTTAGTCTTGGTTTCGTCCTGGATTAGTCTAAAGCATAACCAATCCTGTGGAGAGAGGGGAGGGCATCTGGAGTAAAAATCAATGGCAAAAATGTATATGCAAATGACTCTACAAGATGGGAGGAGATTTGCGGTGATTAGGGAATGAATTATTATTACTGTTATTATTATTATTATTATTAGTAGTAGGAGTAGTAGTAGTAGGAGTAGTAGTAGTAGTAGTAGTACTAGTAGTAGTAGTTAGAGAATAAATTATTAAAGTAAATAGGATCTTGTTTTAGTAATATTTGTATGTGTCAGATGCCCTCCCATCCTCCTGTACCCTGTGTGTGAGACTGAGATGAGGTCAAATGTGTCTAGTGAATCTGCAGATGTTTCTGTGTGTCAGATGCCCTCCCAAATGTTATGGTGGAAAATGGAGCTTATCACAAATAGAAATGATGAGTGAAAACATTAGTGGATTTTCTAATAAATAAACGATATAATCGATGCAGATTATTGTGTCCACAGAGTGAAAGGCCCAGAGGAAGTGCACTTGGAGATGTGAGATTTAGTGTCCAGCTTTAAACTATTGGGGCCAGAGAATTGAGGTCTTGAAATCTGGGACATACAGTTTTATTATTAGAAGTTGTGTTCCTTCTTTTTGCTTTCCCTAAGGCTCCACTCGCTGTGAGACGCAAACCATCTTTTTACAATTTAAACATCACATATGACTCTGTTTTCTGATCTGTGTCCTGATGTTTCCTCATCACAAACAGACTTGGACTTGTGTTTGTTGCATTCACATGTTTAACACACAAACTCTGAACATTTAGGCAGGTGAGGAGGGTGGTGTGCGTGTGTGAGGAGGGTGGTGTGTGCGGGTAAGGAGGGTGGTGTGTGTGTGTGTGCGGGTGAGGAGGGTGGTGTGTGTGCGGGTGAGGCGGGTGGTGTGTGTGCGGGTGAGGAGGGTGGTGTGTGTGCGGCTGAGGAGGGTGGTGTGTGTGCGGGTGAGGAGGGTGGTGTGCGGGTGAGGAGGGTGTGTGTGTGGGTGAGTGAGGGTGGTGATGTGTGTGTGTGTGAGGAGGGTGTGTGTATGTGTGTGTGAGGAGGGTGGTGTATGTG